AACATGACAAGTTTGTCATCTTTGGTAGGAGAAATTTTTTGAAAGGTAGATTGTTGAAGGACCTGGTGGAACCAGGGATGATGAGATTGGTTGACTCTTTAACTACTCAAGGTTGGAAGGACATGGTCCTTCAGATGGATGAGAGACTAGCCAGAAATGAATTAATTGAGTTCATGGCTAATGCTGATGTTAAGGATGGGGTTGTCAGTAGCTTGGTGAAGGGAGTCCCAGTGCAATTTGATGCTGCGAAACTGGGAGAAATTCTGGATATACCCTCTGAAGGGTTTGATGACTACACTAGGCAAAGGTGGACATGTCTGGACTCCCTACCTATTGCTCTTGAGATCACCAAGAGGTTCTATGATTCAGAGGATGTGAATGAAGCCAGGGCTGTGCAGAAAAGTGATATGAGTCTTGAGCACAAGGTTGTGTTTGAGTTTGTCAACAAGTGCCTACTGCCCAGACAAGAGAGAAGACATACTGCAAACTACGTAGACCTGGTTCTTATGGAGTGCCTTGAGAGAGGAAAGCAAATCAACTGGCATGCCCTCATTGTCAAATTACTAGACAGGGTCATCAATGGCACCAAGGCTCATTCCACTCCATATGGATTCATACTGACCATAGTTCTGGACTGGCTAAACGTGTCTTTGAAGAAATGGGAAATAGCCTCAAGCAAAGAATACTTTGGCATCAAAACTCTTCTTGCTTGTGACTATCCAGTCAATGCCATCCTAGTTGATCCTGGTTCATCTCTGAAGACATCCATCAACAACAAGGTTAGGACTTTGGTTCAGGAATGTGCTGCTAAAGATGCTGAAACTGCTAGGCTCCAGGATCATGTGGTTGAAGTGGAAGCTAAGAGAGATGGTCTCAGAATTGATCTTGCAAACGAAAAGGAGAAGAATGATGGAATACTTCAGAACATGCTGAGTCTTCTCCAAACTCAACCCTCTAGTTCCTCCAAGCCTTAGGACTCCTAGTTTCTGTCTCCTGAACTAGTTCTAGTACCCCCCAGTGACCCAGATTAGGGATTTTTCTATGTTTGCTCATGGTTTGAATGTTTTTCTTTCTTTTTATGGTTTGTTTATAGAAACATATATCTATCAATGACAATTGTTGTTCTCTCTTGTTTAATGATTATTCTGACCTTGATAGTTTAAATATGTTTGCGTGATTACTGATGATTGCACCATGATTGCACTTGCAATTGCCCCAGTGACCATGAGTACTTATTAAAATATGGAATTCACACTATGTATACAACTTTTTGATGGTGCCAAAAGGGGAAAGAGATATTGTGCTGAAATAAGTGATATTTATAACCTAATTAACCTGGTCCTTGATGATAAGTAATTTTCTAAGTTTAGTGTTGATGGTTAAGCTGAGTTCTTACAGGTTCTTTGATCAGTAAAAAGCACAGAGTTTGTCATCATAAAAAAGGGGGAATTTGTTGGCCCAGGAACAGGTAAAGTTTTGAAGAATGACAAATGAACTCAGTCATGGACCGGGTCCATCATGTGAAGCACACTCATGATCAACCTATACATGTGAGATGCACATGAAGGAGATAAGTCCCATTGATCAAGCAGCAATATTTCCTGATCTAATCGAAAAGGTTGCATATTGGATAAGTGGAGAAAGTCTTCTTATATGAAGAGAACACAATCCAGATAAAGAGAGTGTTAGAGTTTGATATCATCAAGGACTCAACTACTATAGAAAATCAGAAATTGAATCCCAATCAAACTCTAATTTCTAACCTATTAAATAACAATGATTGTTCTCTTTTACAGGGTGGCACAAACGCAGAAGTTAAACTAAATTGAAAGTAAAAGAGCAAGGCGATTTTGCAAGCAAGTTATGTAAGATTTGAGTGTGCACTCTTAAAGCTAATTGAACGAGTTAGAAGAACCAGTTCCATTGTATTTTTTTATTCTAGTTCAATTGTAGTAGGTGGTTCAAAGTTGTACCTTTCCATCTTTCATAGAACCAATTGTATTAGGTACTTCGAGAGTTCAAGTTATAGGCTAACTTGAAGTTGTCGCAACAGTTGAGACTGTGTGCTACAACGAGATTAGAGTTAATCCTTAGGTTTACAAATAGTTTTGTAAATGCTATTTTGGCTCAGTGATTTTAGTGGAAGTTCTGGAAAATCCTACTGAGTAGTAGATCGTGATTTTTTCACCTTTTGAGCTAGGTGTTTTCCACGTAAAATCTCTGTGTTCTTTATTTTATGTACTTTTAATTCCGCAAATAGTAGTAGTTAGAACACCTAGAATAACCTGGTTCTTCTAGATCGAAAATTGGGTACCACACAAATCACCCCCCCTCTTGTGTGGTATTGACGCTTAAAACATCAGGAACTATCCCTTACCAGCCGCTACTCCACCACTTGCTGATCCTGAAGATATAGATTCATATACAAAAGAGCAAATGTAAGGGGTACAAGTTAACAATAAAGCGAGAAATCTGCTTCACAATGCTATAAGTGGTGAAGAATATGAGAAAATCTCTAAATGTGACACAGCCAAAGAAATGTGGGACAAGCTTGAGGTTACATATGAAGGAACCAGCAAAGTAAAGGAAACACATATCAACATGTTGGTTCATGATTACGAACTCTTCTCAATGAAAGAAGGAGAATCTATTGAAGAGATGTTCGCCAGGTTTAGCAAAATAATTAGCAATCTAAAGGCATTTGGCAAGCCATATACTAGTGGTGATCAAGTCAGAAAAATTCTCAGAAGCCTTCCAACCACTTGGCAGACCAAAGTAGTCACACTTGAATCTCAGGATCTAAATAAGTTATCCTATGATTAACTACGAGGAGAACTCATAGCCTTTGAAAAGACGCATCTCAAGAAGCCTAGTCAAGAAGAAAAAAAGAAGATAGTCGCATTCAAAGCTTCAACTGAAATAGTTGAAAATGAAATTGATGATGATCCTGAAGCTCTACAAGAAGAGATTGCTATGATATCAAGAAACATGGATGGCTTAATGAGAAGATTCAGAAATACAAAGAAAGGAAGAATTCTGCCCAGACGATCTAGGCAATGCAATGAATAGGACAAGAATGATGAAAATGCTATGAGTGTGGAAGATTTGGATACATTCAAGCTGAGTGCCCAGAACTAAAAAGAAAAATTTCTAGAGGCATTAACAAGAACAAATCTTTTGGAAGCTGGAGTGATGAAGACAGTTCAGAACACGAAGAGATAGCAAATCTTTGCTTCATGACAATTCTGGAAAACGAGATGAACAAATCCACAGGATGCTGGACAGATGAGGACACTTCAGATGATGAAGGCAAAGATGATAATAAAAACTATTTCATGGCACGAGGTGAAACAAGTAAGGTAAGATCTTATAACTGTGGAAGATGTAATAAATTGCAGGATATTCTTGATTTAACTTTGAAAGAGTCTTAAAAAAAGATGAATGAGCATAAGAGACTACATAAAGAGATTAAAGACTAGAAAGTCAAACATGAAGTATGTGAAATTGAAAAAGAAGTACTTCAAGAAGAGTTTGAGGAATTGCAACTGCAATGTAATGGCATGTGCAAATCCACCAGTCACATCTCTGTCACGTCAAACCAGGCGACTTACAAGTCAACTAGAAAAGGACCAGCCAGAACAAAGTCCACTAGTACTAGCACTAATGAAAGACCTAAAGGTGGTCAGAAGTTACGTGTCACTACTGTAACAAAAGTGAGCATAAATATTCTTTTTGTCGTTTTCGTAAAGCAAACATTTCAGGATGGGTTTAGAAACTAAAAAACAATTCTGAATCTAGTAATACTAACCATCCAGGACCCAAGCAAGCTTGGGTACCTAAAAGAAATTAATCACTATATTTTGCAGGAACACCACAGAATAAGCCACAAAGGAAAATGGTATCTATACAGTGCGTGTTCCAACCACATAACAGGTGACAAAAACATGTTCAAAGAAGTTACTAAAATTGATGGAGGAAGCGTTAAGTTTGGGGATGACTCAAAAGGTAAAATAATTGGTACTGGAACAATTCCTTTCAATAACAACTATTACATCACTGAAGTTTATCTCGTCGATAGACTCAACTACAACCTCCTGAGCATAAGTCAACTATGCGACTCAGGATATGAGGTAAACTTTGAGAAAACATGATGTGCTATTGAAGACGAATCAGGTAAAACAGTCCTCTCTGGAAAAAGATATGGAAATGTTTATATCCTTGATGGTTTTGAAAAGATAGATGGTCATATTTGCTTATAGTCCATGTCTGATGATCCATGGTTATGACATAGGAAACTTGGTCATGCTAGCATGCATTTGATAGAAAAATTATCTAAACATGAGTTAGTTGTTGGCCTACCCAAACTGAATTTTTCTAGAACTCATATCTGTGATGCATGTCAAATTGGTAAGTAGACCAGAAACTCCTTCAAAAATAAGGATATTGTATATACTTCTAAACCCTTGCAATTGCTTCATATGGACTTATTTGGACCTACTAGAACTGCTAGTATAGGAGGAAAAAGATATGCTTTTGTTATTGTTGATGATTATTCACGTTTCACTTAGGTAATTTTCTTATCTCATAAGGATGAAGCATTAAGAAATTTTGAGGTTTTCTGCAAAAAGGTTGAAAGAGAAAAGGGATATCTGATCGCAACAATTCAGAGTGATCATGGAGGAGAATTTAAAAAGTATAGCATTTGAAGATTTCTATAATGATCAGGGATACACTCATAATTTCTCTGCACCACGATCACTACAGCAGAATGGGGTTTTAGAAAGAAAAAACAGAATCCTCCAAGATATGGCAAGTACCATGTTACTAGATCATTCATCGCCAAATCATTTTTGGGCAGAAGGTGTAAGTACAACATGTCACATTCTCAACCGATGTCTCATAAGGCCCATTCTAAAGAAGACTCCCTATGAATTATGGAAAGGTAAACGTCCAAATATCAGTTACTTTCATCCCTTTGGAAGTAAGTATTCTATTCACAATAACGGTAAGGACACCCTTGGAAAATTCGATTCAAGAAGTGATGAAGGTATTTCTCTGGGCTACTCATTAAATAGTAGATGTTTTAGAGTCTATAATAAATGCACATTATGTGTGGAAGAATATGTACATGTTATATTCGATGAAAATAATCCCTTGGTCGAGAAAGGAATTACTGCAGGTGATGAAGATCAAGCTCAAGAAATTTAGGAGACAAGCAAATCTCAAGAGTTAACTGATATATTTGCTACTATAGAGTCAACTAATGAAGTCAGTAGCCGTGTACCAGATCATCCAATCGAGTCGACTACAATTATAGTACGTCCAAATAAATGGAGAAGCGAGCCGGAATATCCTTAAAAAATCATCATAGGGGATCCAAATGAAGTAATGAAAACCAGGGGAGCTCTAAATTTTGCCTAATGTCTAGGGAAGCCAAATCTATCATTAAAAGTCTGGAATTTCAGTTTGATTGGACTTCTAATTGACCTCTGAAAAAGTTATCGTTACCTATTAGTTGTCTAATTCTCTTTTAAATATGCATCACTTCTCCATCCTTCATCATAATTCCGAAACCGTCAAAAATACTTCTTCACTTCCAATTTCCCTCCTCTCCAAAATTCTCAAATTCTCTCAAGAAATCAACAACCATGTCTAACTCACAAGATCATCCTAGAACCCCTCCACCACCTTCTCCCTCAAATTCATCCTCATCTACTCCACCTAGTGAATCTCCAAAACCTAGGTTTTGAAGGCAGAAAATGCTTGCATGAAAAAACTGTAGCATCTGGGGGCTCTGAGGAAGGTTTTAAATGAACGGTTGAAAGCTAGCCAAGTGAAAGAAAGCCCAACTCAAAATTCTGATTCTAGCTCTGAGATTGAATCTTTTCAATACACTACTGAGGGAGATGGACATGGGTCTTCTGACTCTGAGAAGACTCAAGAATTCCCTACTGAGGTAAGTTCATCTGTTATTAAAAACTTAGAAACTAGGTTTGTTCTGGTTGGACCCGGTAGGGATATTAAGCTGGCTGAGACGAGTAGGAGTGGAGGTAAAAAGAAGTCTAAAAAAGAAAAAGAGAGAGAGGGTGCATGTGGTGAAGAGGGGGAAATGGGAAGGGAGCAGTTCTTGTTATATGTGGGTTTGCACAAGAGAGGTTAGAAGAGAGTGGCATGAAGTCAGAGGGAAGTGGGTCTGGGGAGGCTGCTGAGGGGTTGGTTCATCTGAGCAAAAAGAGAGATGAACCTGTTTCATTTACTAAAGAGGCCCTAGCTGATCTACTGAGAAAGATTGGGGAAAGTTATGACCCAAAGAAATGCAAAGCTACCACACCAAAAGCACCAAATATTCCCAAGCCATCCAAGAAAAGAAAAGTCTCATCCCAAACACCTACTGGCTCTTCAGTGCCTAGGGGTAGAGCTCCAAGAAGTAGGGTAAAACAAAGTGAAACTGATCTACAAAAGGCTTTAGAAGAAAGCAAGTAAAAGAAAATGGACAAAGGAAAGGGAAAGATTGCAGAATCCTCAGTGGATGTTGAGGAAGAGGTGATGAAACTGGTCCATCAGGAAAGGGGTACATCAGTGAAGGTTCCTACACCCGCGCCTAAGAAACCCAAGACTTCCTCTACGAAGTCTTCCTCTGTGCCTGTAGTTGTTGAACCCTCACTAGCCAAGAGGACAAGATCTGCAGTGAAAGCTAAACAAGCAAAAGTTTTAGATGATGAAGTGTGGAGAAGAAGAAGAAGAAGAAGAAGAAGAAGAAGAAGAAGAAGAAGAAGAAGAAGAAGAA